TGGATTAACCGTATTTACATTGAACCTTATGGGAAAATTTGATTCGGTTCGTGACCAGAGTCGTGAAACGAATTAAGTTCGTGAACCGAAGTACCACTGTACATAGATATATAGATACATGCATGTGCAAACACACATACACATGGAATGAAAATCCTCCAGGAGGCTTCTGGGCTGATTGTGGCAGCACAATCCTGGGCAGCCTCCAGCAATGTTTGGCAGCCAGAGTTGAGCCTGCTGTCCAGTCCAGTCCCTTGGAGAGGGCCTGCTGACGGCCCCCCACTCCCCTCCCCTTGAGGTCCGTGGGTTGTGGATCAGACCTCTTGGGGAGGGGAGGGTGCCCAGAATACAACACACTCTTTTGTGTGCATGCTATATGTTCCACTGCAGAATAGAGAGGAGGTATGACTTCCCTTGATCCCTCCAATACTGTGGAGGCAGCCAAGGATCGTATTTGCTCTTTCGTACAGCTGCGTCACACTGCTGGCTCATGTGTGACTGTGTCTGTCTTCAAGTCAGTGATGACTCCTGGTGACTATCTGGTCTAGTCCCTGCAGTTTTTTATCACAATTTCAGAAGTAGTTTGCCATTGGCTCCTTCCTAGGGCTGAGAGAGAGGGACTGGCCCAAGGTCACCCAGCTGGTTTTGTGCCTAAGGCAGGACCAGAACTCACAGTCTCCCGGTTTCTAGCCTGCTCCCTTAACCACTACACCAAACTGGCTCTGAACGTAATATACAATATATAAAATAATTCATAATTATTTTATATTATATATAGTTTATTAAAATTAATACTTTAAAATACTTTAATAGAATATATAAAATATAAAACAATATGGAATAATATAAAATATAGAATTGTGGATATACAAAATATAAAATAGTGAGATAATATACAAAGTGAACAATAAATAAAATACAAACAAAAAAATAATAATATAATGCACATTTTCATACCATTCTAAATAACTGTCTACAAGACCCGGGAAGAATGTCTTCCTTCCTGCAGGAACCAGCATCAGCCAAGGCCGAAATAATTCTATATATTACAGAATATACTGAGTTGGCTTTAGATATTATAGAAAGGCATGAAAGCTAGCTGGGTCACTGTCTCAGCCCAACCCACCTTCACAGGGTTGTTGTTGTGGGGAAAATAGGAGGAGGAAGGAGTATTATGTATGTTCACCACCTTGAGTTTTGGGATGGGATGGGATGGGATGGGATGGGATGGGATGGGATGGGATGGGATGGGATGGGAT